GCATGAGTTAAGAACTGTAAACTTTAGAACAGTATTAAAAATGTATGTATTATTAGAATTCAAATAATATTACTATCAACTAAGTGTCTTAATATTAACTAAAAAAAAAATAAAAGTTAGCAATTCAATTCTTTGCTAGCTGGACTTGTGTTAACTTTTCTTATTCTTCTCTCTTAATGAGGATGGAAGTCTGCCAGGGAGGTAGGAGCAGTGTTATCATAGGCACGAAATTCTGGCAATTTTGGGTAGAAGGTGGGGAGGTCTGCAGCCTGTCTGCTGGCTGACTGCTTCTGGCTTCACAGACCCCTCTAGAGAAATGAGACTGTGGTTTCTAGATTCTTTTTAACTTTGTAGTCCATTTTCAGAATCTGATGATTTGGCAAGCAGTGGGAGATGGAAGTGTGGCACAATAAACATTCCCGTGGGAAACTAGTGTACAAATTAGCGTTGGAAAATTTGTTCTGCCAGAGCCTATGAACTCTGTTTTTCCAACATGATCATCAGCTCTAAATCTCTTTTTCAATAGTTGAAAACTCTAATCTAGACCTAAAGACAGCAGAATCACCATTTTTCTTTCCTCTCTGTTTCATTAGCGAGGTCTGGTGAATTCCAGCTCTCCTGCCACTGCAGAGCCCTGTAGAGTACAGAAGCAGCACCTCAATTAAATATGAAATATCAAGATAAATGTCTGAATAAAATATCCAGGACTCAGACAAACTTCCAAAACGTGCTTGTCAGCAGTGAAATGCCATTAAATCCTCTAGGAACTCATTAATAGATTAACATTTGGAAGAGTAATTGCAGCTACGTTAGAACCAAGAATAAAGAAAAACAAAGTGCAATCCAACAACATCGTTCCTTTAAACTCTTGACACAAAATGAAGATCAATACTATAAAAAAATCAGAGGTGAGGAATTAAGGTCAAGATGATTATGTCAAAAGTAGGTAAGCTGTTCATATATATTTCAAATAAAACCAGTGTGGGTGCAGCTGTTATGTAGTGTTTCATATTATTTGTGTGCAACACTACCTCACAGGGGATGGAAAAGGGATATTGAGGTGAAATCAAGGATGTATCGGGAAATTGGATGAGTTGATGACTTCAGTGCCGTTAACCTAAATCACAACTAAAATTAACAATGTCAGGCTTTGTAGCTACATTTTCTGAGCCAAAGCAAGACACTGATCTTTAGTGAGACAGAAATATATTACCCTTCAAAAGGATTAAATACTGCAAAAGTCTTTTTTGAGAATTTATGTTGCAGCTCCGTAAAGGAAAGAGGAAAGATAAGATAAAGTAGGTACTGTAGTTAGATAAATAGGTGAGATCTTGAGAAATGTTTTCATTTTTCATAAAATTCTCACAATCTGTAAATTTTATATGTATAATTCATTACATTATAACCTGGAATATGAATCTTGCAAATTTATGAAACAGGAAGAAATACAAATGGAGAAAATATGACTTTATTTAGAAATCCTTCTCTGTTACTGTGAGTGTACCTACTGTAGAACCAGGCTGCACAGCAGTGTGCCGGTGGGAACTGAGCTATTTTCAAGAGGAAAAAAAATAAAAATATATGAAAAGTAACAAGGCTGTAAAATACATAGGTGACAAATAAAATAGAGTCATCAATGTTTAAAAAAAAAAAAAAAAGTTAAGGTTTTAGATTTGCAATTTTCCTATTTAAATGCCCTCATTGATTTGTTACAAATACTGTTAACCCTGTGTTTGGAAAATGGTGAGGACATTATCACTTGTGTTCTCATTTGTAATAAAATAGATTAACTTGCTGTGAAATTTTAACTAGGCTGAGACACAACAGTAGCTACCTAATGAACCAGAGCACATTGCTGTTAAGTAGCTAAATAGAGGCATACTGATTACAGGACTGAAAAATGGATCTGTTTACTTGCAAAAAAAAAAGGGTCTGTTCATAGTGTTATTCATTGCAGTAGGGGAAATTCAGCATTATGTTTCCATATCATTTAGAAATAGACGATTTCTTGATCCATATGCAATCTTACATGATGATGCCATATCCTCATTTGTAGTACATGTGATACAGAGAAAATTTCAGTTCTTCTATTG